TCGAATGCCCGCGAAAAAAAAAAACAAAAACAAACTTGTGACGTCATCAAGTATATAATATGACGTATAATTTTCGTTTTTATAACCTGTTATTTAAAATGTTAATAATGTAAATTAATCAAATTAAATTAGTTTTTTTTTTTTTTCAGGGGAAAGGTAATTTGTCGTTTTTTTTCTTTTTTTTTTATTTCAAGTTATTTATTGTTTAAATTTATTATCCTCGGGGAATTGGGTTTTTGTTTACACAAATAAAATGGCGCGTCATTTATCATGTTGGACATCCTTGTCAGATAAGTACGTGAAGTAAAATCAGGGGTGACACCCACACAAAAAACCGTTGGGCGCGGAATTATTAATCTGATCAGTTGATGTGACTTTACAAAACGTTTTGAAATAAGTGGGTCATGAAAAAAAAAAAAAAAATTACTTGAATCGACTTAAACAGGTGTATGGATCGTTAGTAACGACATTAGTGCCGATTTGAGAAAAATGCCGATGGCAAAACGAGGAAAAATAAAAAAAAAAAAAACGTTTGTACGTAATTGACTCATTACAAAATAATTTAGGTCTTTTCCTATTATTATTTTTTATTAATTACTTTTCCGCTTTTACTTCTTAGTTAATAACTATCAATAAATAATAAAAAAATAAATAAATATTATTATTATTGTAAAAATTATTATCGTTTACTTAAAAAAAAAAAAAAAAAGAGAAAAAAAAATTTTTTTTTTTTTTTTTTTTTACTTAATTCAAATTTGCATAATGACGTTATAGAAAGAAATAGAAAAGGAAAGAACAAAATGGCGGCTTATCTCTTGCAGGCATCTAATTACTCAGAAATTTTTTTTGATTGAAAAATGCTTATTCAGGACATATTTTGACAAATTTATATTACTATTTTGTTAAAATTCTAAGAATATTACACAAAATTAACGTAAGCATTTTATTTTATCTCGTAAAATGTTTTTTTAGAACCGATTTTCAGTCATTATGAAGAAAGTTAGGAAAAGGACTCAAATGTCAGAACCTCACCGGAATATTTAATCAAAATTATTACATTTTGCGGTTTAATTTTCGTAAGTTCAACTTATTATTTTGACCTTTCACAATAGAAATAAAAGTTTTAAATTATTTTTTTTTTTATTTTTGATAAAATATTAAGTACAAAATGTTATCGAAGGGTACCTAAGGTAAAATTATTGTTACATTGTTTGAGATTTACCGTTTGAGATAATATATATATAGTAATGGACGAAACTGCACACAAGTAAAAAAGTGGATTAATTTCGTTTTATTGTTACAAACTTATTGTTTCTTTTTTCTTTTTACCTTTTTCTTTTGTAAAAAAAAAAAATTAAAATTATAATACTATCATTTATTTGATCGTTCATGCATAAAATAATTACATGAAAAATTTTTTCTGTATTACTTTTTTTTTAAAAATGTTATAAATTTAATTCATTGTTGCTTTTAAATTCAAAACGTTTTCTAAAATTTAATGTTTAC